TTTTTTTATTTTATTATGTTATGTTAATCACCATACATTACATCATTAGTTTTTGATGTAGTGTTCCATGATTCATTGTTTGTGTATAACACCCAGGGCTCCATTCAGTTCCTTCTATAGACTTTAAAAGATATTTTGTACCTAAATAATTGAGAAATTGAGTCATGCACATCAAACAAAGCAAGCAAAACCTGCCAGGAACACTCACACTCTTTTTAGCACCTAACACTGCACTATAAGAAACAAGTATTTCTATAAATTTTCATTCCTGTTTGGAATTAATCCCAAAGAAAAACTAACCTTTTGAAGCACTGTAATCAAGAGCTGTGGTCTGGTTAAGGCTCTGCTCTCATGTCTGAGGTGTAAACTGCAGATGGTTGGGTAAACCTAAGCCTCAGTCCTCTCTTAATCCATTTTTGTCTCCCATAAGTGAAGATAAAAATAAAGATAGGGTGCTGGCCGGGCTCCCTTGTGATTACAGAACTAGATTATTTACCAGATTCACATGACTAGCACTAAAGTATAGCTCCCTGTGGAAAGGAATCCAATAGAGGAAAATATGAAGATGTCAGTCATTTCAGCTTTCTGGCTCTCCTTCAGGCGAAAGGGATGAAGAATATGAGGAGAAAGGGATAGAAGGAACGGATACACATTTGACTTTTTAATTTCATGTGGTCCTCACAGAAACTTGTGAGATTAGGACATATATATACTTATAAAATTCTCAGTCCGAAAAACAATGCACGAAGAATTGCAACGAACTGGTCCAAGTGGTATGAGACGTCACCGGGGGCAAAGGCACGTAGCAGTACTGGTCAATTGTGGAAAGCGGCGAGGACTGGTAACCCAGAGGTTTAAGTTGCCATTTAGCATGTGCAGAGCTCCATTTTCGGAGGCTCGGGGCCGGGCAGCAGGCCCCGCAAGGGGGCGCCACAACCGCGCGCCTGGGAGACTCCCGGTTCCAGGCGTTTCCCAGCAGGGCGAGCCGGGTTCCCCCAAAGTCTGAGAGTGGTGGAGCATTTTCAAGAAAGAGTAGGAGTAGGGAAAAGAAAAGGCAGAGAGAAAAGGAGCTAAAACAGGAAGGGGGGATCATCACTGTTCTCATCACCATTGTAGGTAGTCACAGCCAAGCTCCAACCACCTTCACCCAATCCCGCTAGATACACACGCATGCACGTACACTCTCGCGCGCTCCACGAGACCCCCTGCACCTCAGAGCGCTGGGCGGCGAACACAGGAACCTTGACCCTTTTCCCCAGCGATTAGCGCGAGCGGAGAGGGACTAAAGGTCCTGACCAGGCTGCTCGCCAGTTTTGAGCAAAAGCGCGGGCAGTCGCTGCCGGAAACCGAAGTAGCAAGGTGCGGGGCGAGCGCGGAGCCGACGCCTGGGGGGTATCCTCGAGCCTCTTCTAGACCCCACTCCCACCCCCACCCCCGCCTCCCCGCGTCCCGGGATAGCGCCGAGGGCTCCACCTAGAGCCTGGGTCGCAAACGCCCTGGGCGGGTGGAGAGAGGGGGCAACCGGCAGGGGGTTCCCAGCACCACTGCCGCCCTCCTCCCCGCTTCCTGCCCTCCCCTGTCAAATTCGGGGGTCAACTCGGTGCCCTTTGGCATTAGGGAGAGTTCCGCCTGGGTTCTCAGACTCAACAGTCCTTATACTTAATGTGTTCCTGCATCATCTGGAGGGCTTGGTAAATTCAAATTGAGGGCGCAGCCCTAGCGCGTCCGATTCCCTATGTCTGAACCGGAGCCCAAGAATCTGCATCTTTAGCAAGTTTTCGGGGTTGGGGACAGGAGACTGCAGCTCAGGGAAGCCTCCAGAGCGCCGCGGGCGCCCGCACCCTCTGCACCGGCCGGGGCTGGAGCGGCCGAGACTGGGGCGCAGGGCGCGCGGAGGGGGGCGGGGGGATGTCAGGCGGCAGCGCGGCAGGCCAGCAGCTGGCGGAGGCTCCTGCGGAAGCTGTCGTCCAGAAAGGCGTAGAGAAAGGGGTTGAGGCAGCTGTTGGCGTAGCTCAGGCTGGTGATGAAGTAGGAGAGCGCGATGACAAGCGGCGTCTGCGGGAGGTCAGTGGTGAGCGCCACCACGGTGCTCAGGTGGTAGGGCGTCCAGCAGAGGAGGCACACGGCCAGGATCGCCACCACCAAGAGAGTGACCCGCTTCTTAGCGCGGTCCAGAGCCTTGGCGTTGCTGTCCAGCCGTATGGCGCGCAGCCGGCACAGCAGGATGCTGTAGAGGACGCAGATGGTGGACACCGGGATGGCGAAGCCGAGCACAAGCGTGTAGAGGCGGCTCGCCCGCCACCAAAAGGCCTCCGGCTGCGGAAAAACAAGCACGCACTGGCGCCGGCCCTGCTCGTCGTCGAGCCGGGCGAAGACAGCAAAGGGCAGCACGACCAGCGTCACGAGCCCCCACACGGCCAGGCTCACCGCGCGTGCGGCGCTATACGTGCGGCCAGCCACCCGGCGTGACTCGGCCGTGGCCAGCACTACCAGGTAGCGGTCGGCGCTCATGACCGTGAGGAAGTAGAGGCTGGAGAAGGTGTTGTACTGGTCGATGGCCACGATGAGCTTGCACATGAGCTCCCCGAAGGGCCATTGCTGCAGCAAGAAGTCAGCGATGTTGATGGGCAGCACAAGCGTGAAGAGCTCGTCGGCGATGGCCAGGTTGAGGATAAACAGGTTGGTGACGGTCTTCATGCGGGGCGCCCGCAGCAGCACGTACAGCACGGCCGAGTTGCCCGCCAGCCCCACTGCGCAGATCACCGCGTAAACGACGGGCACCGCCACCGCCAGCGGCGGCGGCAGCGGCGGCGGGCTCGACGCGTTGGGGCAGCCCAGCGCGGGGCCCAAGCACGACGTGTTGGCGGGCCCTAGCTCCGAGAATGACGCGTTGTGCATGTCGGCGAGGGCCGTGGGGCCGGCGACCCGGTTTCCTCCACCAACGCCCTGCGAGGCTCGCAGTTCACCCAGCCCGCGTCTGTGCGGACCTGCGCTCCAAGTCCTTCTGTGACTTCTCCGCGGGAGGCTAGTTCCTGGCCGTCTTTTTAGCCCACCGTCGCCGCGCACTCCCGGGCTGCAAAACGGAATTGAAAGCACGGGTTACGATGATCGACGTGCAACTATATCAAGAGGTGAGGGTCCAAGGGGCGGGGAGGGGTGGCGCGGCGCCCCAAATCTGCCCCCACGTGATCGTTCTTTGCTACCTGTTGAAGTCTTATTCTAACCAGATGAATACATTGAACAAAGTGCTACAGAGAAAAGAGTCCTTACCCTTTATAGGAAAACTACAAACCCGTCTCCTCTTCTTTAAGACGCCCCTGGCCGACACGGGTCTCCTTAGGTTCGGTGGTCCCTCCCTATTAGCAAGTTCAGTAGCAGTCTCTCTCTTACCTAGCTGGCCCAGGGAAGGGGCTTCTTTTCTGGAGCGGTCAGGAGAGGAGGCCGCCGGCTGCGGAGACCGCTGCGGCGGCAGCCGGCCGAAAATCCCCCTTCCTGCTTCTGCCCCAGGCGGCAGCTTGCGTTTCCGCGGGTCCAGCCTGCACGCCTAGAACCTTAGGAATGGCGCAGCCGCAACTGCTCTCCGCTGACCCGATCGCCTCCCCCACCATCCCCACCCCAGCTGTGGGACAGAGAACCGCATTACTCATAAATCCTTTTTTCCTTCCATATGAACGTCACTCCATTTGAATTAATAAAAAGCTCTCCTGTTAAGAATTAAATTTAAGAGAAACAAAGCAAGGGTATTGGTGGTGTCTCTTTTAATAGAGCAATGTAGTTGAGGCTCCCATTCTATTTTTTTAAAACACCATAGACCAAATGGGCTAATGTAATTTTAAATTTTAAGTTACATTTATTCTACATAGCTATACAGAAGGGAGAAGTGAATGTAATTTTAAAATGGAAATCACCCATTTTCTAATACTGTGGTCTTCGCAGGATTATAAAATCGTTAATAACAAATAATGGTGGACAATTTGAGATACTTTAGTCTTTCTAAATATACATATAATGATTATTAACAAAGACAAACTGCTTCTGAAGCCTTTTAGTGTACTACGACTTAATGCATATTTTGTAAAATGTTCAGGTTGTTCAACACACTGCCCTGAGTCTTAGACACAAATTCCTGCTTCTTCCGGTAAGAGAACTACTCTGCAGTGGTAGCAGTGGCCAAGCGAGGCAGAACAGGGCAGATACGGGGCAGATCTGGGCTGCAATTTTCCTATCTCGCAGAGCCGGAGTCCTTCCTCTACAGAAAGGGGAACTCACCGTAGGCACCTCACCTTTGAGGACAGAATGAAATTAACTCAATATTAGTTCTCTTCAGTTCCTATTTTCTTCCTCCACCTTCCCTTTGGGAGAGCAGCAAATTAAAACACAGGATTCTATCCTACTTCCCTCAAAAAAATTTCTTTCCCACAAAAGCAGGCAAAAGTCCAAATAAAGTGCATTTTTTGGTCCTTTATGAAGCATTTTTAGAGCAGTGGTCCTAAGATACTTAGAAGGAGACTGGAAGTAGCCAGTAGAAGAAGCCTCTGGGGGCAGAAATACAAATGCTTTTCTTTACCCACTCATTCTCTTTTTACTGGGATCTGCATAATTAAGCTTCCTTGCAGTTTCGGTCTTTGTATAAAGAAAATGACAGGAAAGTCAGGCTATTATGTCCATGAGGTAAAATATGTGAGAAAGCATCATATAATGTTAAGTGAAACAAAAAAGAAAGCTTATACATAAAATATATAAAATGTATGTATAATACATACAGATAAACATGGATGTATATCTGTGGGTATGTATGTATGTGTATGCATACATTTATATGTATATAGTTATATAGTTGCTTAGTTTTCAAATACTTGGAGATTTTCCAGTTTTTTAAATTATTGATTTCTAGCTTAATGCTTAATTACACTGTGAACAGAATACAAAGTCAATATGATTTCAATTCATTGGTATTTGTTGAAACACTGCCCTACAGTATATAGTTTTTTTTCTAATTAGTTCATGTATACTTGATAATAATGTGTGTTCTGCATTTGTTGGGTGCCAAACTCTAGGTTATGGCAACTAGTCAAATTTACTATTATGTTCCTTAAATCTTCTCTCTCTATTGGTATCTTTATCTGATTGCTTTATGAGTTACTGAGAGATATTGTTAAAAAATACCAATCAATAATTACAGATTTCTCTATGCTTTTAATTTTGTTAATTTTTTACTGCATAATTTGATGGTGTTTTATTAGGTGCACACAAATTTAAGATTGTTATATTTTTCTGTGGAATGAACTCTTTTCTCATTATAAAATATCCTTCTTTTACTGGGTTACTACTTGTATGTAGTCTCTTTGGTATTATTAAAGCTATTTCTTTTAGTATTATCATGGAATATCTTTTCTTAAGTCTTTTTACTTCAAACCTCTCTTTGTCCTTATGTTTAAAACATGTCCCATGTAAACATGATAAAGGTTTTTTTGATCAAATCTGACAATATTTGTCTTTGAATTGGAGTATTTAGTTCATAATGTATTTAATGTAGTCATAGATAATATTAGGGTATACCTACTATGTTATTCTTTGTTCTCTGTTTCTCTTATCTTGTTTTCACCCTTTTTTTCCTCTCATGTTTTTCTGGATTAAGATTTATTGTTTCATTATTCAGTTGCCTACACTTCATTAACTTATTAGTTCTACATTCCTTTATTCAAACGGTTGAAATAAAAATTGGATATGAAATTCTAGATTTTCAGTATTTTTATTTCAGTAGTTTAAATGACATTCCATTTTCTTTTTGCCTCCATTGTTTTTATTGGAAAAGTGGTTTCCAGTCTTACTGTAGCTCTTTTGAAGGTATTTTTCCTTTTTTCTATAACGGTTCTTAAATTATGTCTCTGATTTTGTCTTTTGGCAGGCAAATAAGATGAGCTAGGAGTGATTTTCTTTCCATTTATGTAGGTTTGGATTTGGGGGGCTTCTAAATCTGTAACTTGATCTTTTTTTGTATTCAATTTTGGAAAATCCTTAGCATTCTCTCTTCAAGTTAATGCTTTGTCCCCTTCTCTCTCTCTTCCCTCCTACTGGGACTCCAATTACATGTGTGTTAGATCTTCATGCTCTTTTCTGCATTTCCTACCCTTCTCCCTCTCTCTACTTCAATCTGGTCCCTTAAATCCTGGCTTTCTTGATTGTTCCCCAATGTCTTCAAACGGCTGTCAGGTTTTTTTCTCAATTTTTATGGTAGCTCATAACAGGAGGGTTTGTATGATACAGCTAATTCATCATAACTAAAAGTAGAAGTTAATATCTAAAGTTTTCTATACAGCACAATACCAAATTAAAAAGTATATGTGTATGTGTGTTTTCATATACATAATTATGTGTAGGTATGTGTAATTATGAAAGCATATACATTAAAATGTTAAAAGATATTTTGGTAAAATATAAATTTGGCAGTTATTTTTTTTGCACTTTTGTGAATTTCCCAAACATTTTTTATAGTGAAGACATATTACTTTTATATTAGTAAGAAAATAATATTTGTAAAAATCACCACAGTAGTACTTTGTGGTCATAAAATACTGACTATTGAGAATAAATTAAGAATATATAGGGAAGGTATTTCTTCCAGCACTTGTGAAATTACTATAAACACACATACACACCCAAGCAGTGAATAAACAGATTTATAAAATATATTTTTATTTAGAAACATACCTTATATACCCTGAAGTTCACATTGACCCAAAAGAGATTTCCAATAGCAATTTGTACTGCTTGAAGCAATTTTGCTTATTAATAAGAAAATGCTAAATTCCAACCTCTTCTTATTTTAAAAAGTATACAATTAAATATTTGAATCTTGAGTACTAAGAATATTAATATCTAGTATAATCACAGTGTCCTAGTTTAGTGTTACTAAAACTTTCAAAATTGTTTTTCCTCAGCCCAGAAAAAGAAGTGTATTCAAGGCAGAAATGAAAAGGTGGAAACATCAAACTCATAGAACTTGTCATGGTGAAAGACTGAATGTTTTGTTCCTAAAATCAACAATAAGACAAGGATGTCTTCTCTCCACACTTCTATTCAACCTTATATGGCAGGTTCTAGCCAGTATAATGAGGCAAGAAAAATAAAAAAACATTCAGATTGGGGACAAAGAAGTAAAACTGTCATTATATGAAGATACCATAATTGTCTATTAAGAAAATCCCATGGAATCTACAAAAACACCAATAGAACTAAAATGAGTTTAGTAAGAATACAGGATACCATTAAAAAGACCTATTGCATTTTTATATACTAATATGATCAGAAGTTTAAAATTATTTATTTTTTAATGTGATACGTGCTTTAATACTAACAGTGAATATACAATGTACACAGTAGATATAAAGAATCAGCCCAGAAGTGTCAGAGAAAGCTGGGACAAGTGGTCATTCTTAGATAAGGACCTAGGAATATATCAGATGGAAAGTGATGGGAAGGAGAGTGCAAGTAAGTGAGGACAATGCAGGCAGGGTACATGGGGAGAGTTAGGCAATGTAAAGTGATTGTATTCTGTGTATATATATATATATATTTTAGGGTAGGGATGTGTTTTATTTGGGTAGAGGGTAATATATAAAGATTTCTGTTAAATACATAATTTTAATACAAGCATCAGGAGGGCAGGGTTTTCTTTTAATTTTTTTTTAATTTTTCATTATGTTGAGTTAGCCAACATATAGTACATCATAAGTTTTTGTTGTAGTGTTCAACAATTCATTAGCTGTGTATAATATCCAGTGCTCATCCTAACACGTGCACTCCTTAACCATTTACCACAGTATCAAACAGTACCTAGGGATTATTCTTACAAATGATGTGAAAGACTTATACACTGAAAATTACAACACATTGCTTAAAGACATTAAAGAAGACCTAAAAAAATGGAGAGATATTCCATGTTCATAGGTCAAAAGACTCAGTATTGTTAAGATGTCAGTCCTCCCTAAATTGATCTTTAGATCAATGCAATCCCACTCAAAATCTTATCAGCTTTCTTACTGTTGTTGTTTGGTGGAGAGGGAATGTATAAATTGACAAATTGTATAGTTGATAAACTGATTTTAAAATTCATATGTAAATATAAATTATCTAGGATAATTGCTAAAGCAATTCTGAAAAAGAAAAACAAATTCAGAAGGCCAAAACTATTTTATTTCAATACTTACTATCATGTAATTGAGCCATTCTACTCCTGAGTATTTATTAAAAAGAAAAGGAACTGTATGTTCATACAAAGCCTTGCACATAAATGTTCATGGTAGCTTTACATAAAATAGCCAAAAACTGGACACAATGCAAATGCCCATCAACATGTTAATGGATGAACAAACTATAATATAACCATACAATGGAATACTATTCAACAATAAAAAGGAATAAAGTAAAGATGCACACACTACAACATGGATAAATTTAAAAATGAGTATGCTAAGTGACAAGCCAGGCAAAAAAACAAGTACATTCCATATGATTGTATTTATTAAAACTCTAGAAAATTCAACCACTCTATTGTGACAGAAATCAGATGAGTTTTTGCTTGAGGAAAGGGATG